CTAAATCGGTTGCCTTTGCTTTGGCAGTCTTATCTGTTGGAGGTGGAGAGCATCCGTTGAGCCAAGGTCCGCTTGGGGATATTTTTTGCGGGCGCTGTGAGAAGTATCGCGCTACCTGAGATTAGTGCCGAGAGTTGCGCGTGCGCTTGAGGAATGATCCTCGCAGCCGGGCCTTGGTCGAAGAGCTGGCGAGGCGGGAGCTTCAGATGCAGGAAATACTTGGCAGGACGAGTGCTCTCGAGGAGCAGCTCCGCCGAAAGGATGAGGAGCTCGAGGCGGTAAAGAGGGTTCGCAGCTGAGTGCGAGCGCCGGGCAAAGCCAAGGCGGCGGAGGCCGCTGCGGCATGGAGCGGGAAAGTGACGCGTTGGAGGGTGAGGTCGCGGCATTGAAGCTTCAAGTGAGGATGCTTCGTCAAGGGCCGAGGTGTTGGAGGAGGCTATCCGCGTGCACGAATCCCAACGGGCATTGGAAAGGGATGGCTGCGGCCTTTAGAGAAGCGAGTCTCGAGAAGCGGATTGGTGTCTTTGAGCAGGACGCCCAGGTTCATGGCAGACCGGATCACAGCCTTAGAAGAAGAGAATCAGCTGGCTACGAGATCAAGCCGCTTCTTCCAGCTAGGCTCGAGAACTTTGGGTCTTTGCCGAGGCCCAATGTGATGTATATAAGAGTTCGTGGGAGGCTGGCGTCGTGGACCGAGGCTGCTTTCGAGGGGGGCGTGTCAGAAGGCGTGAGGCACGTGCTGACTGTGGTTTTGACGCTGCGACGCCAGAGGCTGACGCTGGTGCAGACGGTGGCGCAGACGGCACGAGTAAAAAAGATGTTTATGCATTTTTTCTTGTCTTGTTCGCTGTTTGGCGTTTAGGGGTTTCTTGTTTTTTTTTTATTTCTTGTATTGATCGCCTTGGCCGGGTGTAAGCGGGGATGACCGCAATTGACTTTGTAAATATACAAATTCTCTTTTCCATTGCCTGCCTTGGTGCTTGTTTTGTGTCACTGTTTTTCTTTCGTTCTTTAGAGTTTTTGTTGCGCTTTTTGTTGACCGTTCACGGTTGGCGGCCCTTATTCGAATTTAAAATCGACGACTTTAGTCGTGATAGAATCGATCGCCTTAGCCATAAAGGCAACTTCGACCGTCGTCGGGTCGTTTTACTCACCGTAGTCGAATCATTAGGTCGACCGTTGGCGGCGATGGCCTTAGCCATAATATAGTTGATGGCCTTGCTTTTTTCAACTCGGTGCGGGCGAGTCTTAGCCGTCATTTGGCGATAGCGGCGCTTAGCCTTAGTCCCAGTTCGGACGCGGTCGAACTACGGTCGGATGGTAGAAAACGCGCCTCGTAGTTTGACCGGGGCCGAACTTTACATGGCCCGAATCTTAATTCGAGTTGAAGAACTTACTTGAATAGCGAGGTGCCTATCCTGCGCTCCGATTTGTTGGAGGTCGGGCTTTGCTTTCCAGATATGAAGGCGTTTGGCCTGAGTCTGGTTCAACTGTGGTTGAACTTTGCTAAGTTGAGGACGAAGGCGTCCATCTTTGTTGGAGCGGGGGAGTTTCTCGTCGTCCTTCGTTCCGTCGATCTCTCCTCGTTTCGAGTGTATCGCTGTTAGCCGTTGGGTTCGGCCCATTAAGATCGTCCTCGTCCGCTCGGTACCTCGCGCAATAGGCGTTGTGGATTTCCTCCCATGTGGTAGGGGGATATTTCATGAGGCGGCTCAGCAGCTTCTTGGTTGCCCTCGAACCATCTCTGCTTAGCCCGTTCTGGAAAGCGGCGACTGCCATACCTTCCGATACGTTTGGTAGACTCATCCTTACCTGTTTTAAACCTTGCCAGGAAGTCCCTGAGTCCTCTCCTGTGTTTTGCCTGACGGCGAAGATGTCGTTAACCCTGGCCTCCGCTTTCTTAGCGCCTGCATGGGCTGTGACGAACTATCCGCCATTTCCTCGAACGTTGATGTTGCCTTAGCGGTAGCTGAGAGTACCTATGTTAGGCCCCTCCTGTCAACGTCTCGCCAAACTTTCTTCAGCAGTACCGACGGTACCTGTTTTTCGATAGGTCGTTGCCCTTCACAGCGCGTGACGTAGTGGATCAGATGATCCTCGGATCTGTGGTTCCGTCATATACCCTCTAAGTAGGGTGGCCATCTGAAGGTTTTTTTGGGGTGGAGTGAGGGGCAGCTTCTTCAGTGTATGGTTGTTTCAACGAACCTTCCCACGTCGCATTTTGGTAGCAAACTTGGGAGCACCGGGGATCTTGTCGCCCTCTCCTTATGTTTCCTTCATCTGACCGGCGGAGCGCCTTGTTTTATTTTCCATTTCTTTCCATCTTCTTTAGGATGGCTGTTAGCGTGCCATCGTTGGTCTGTGTCTCGATGGGTTTGTTATTCGCTAGTGTAACTTCCGGTCACCCACGACAGCAGTAGTACCTACATTGGTGTACATCCGATGTTACTTTGTGGTGACCTCTCAACCAAGCCACTTAGAGCGCTTGTTAGCCATCTTTCAATAGCTCCTTGACCGCCGAGGGTGCTCTCCGTAACCGCAGGATGTGGAAAGCTCCTTTTTCGTGCAAGATCGTCAGACCTTCGGATGGGGAATGTGAGATTTCTGCACCCGGTGCGATGCTAGGGGTTGCATTCAGGATGCCATCGTCACTGGCCTCGTTGAGAGGGCCAAGGAGATTGGTAGTGACATCCAATATAGCTTTCGATCTTGTGTTATTTTCGGCCATTTTCTGTTTTTGGTGGTGTAGAGAATGGTAGTTTGGTTGATCTCTAGGTGGATACTATGGTTTTGATTCTCGAAAATCCCCACAGACGGCGCCAAATTGTTTGCTCAAAAGTTATTACATATCTTATGAGTATAAAACAATACAAATGAGTCACGGGAAAATCATAGCAAATCGTAATAATCCGTTGGACCAAACGAAAGAAACGAAAATAAGTACTCATGATTAGGGGGAGAAACATTAGATACCTTTATTGATAACATTTGTTTGGTCTGCCTCTCCATGAAGAGGTTCAAAGCCTTACAATGGTGTTTTCTCTTCCCATAAGATGGGTATATTTTTTCTCTTCTCTCTCTTGTCAATAGTGGTGAAGAAGCAGCCCCCCTTTTCTAGGGTTCCCTCTCTGGGTATTTATAGCTGTGGGCTTCGTGATCTGGCGATAAGTGGCCGTGACCACGCTGGGATCTCGCCTTTATGGTGGCGGATAGGCCATGGCCTTGTCGATCGAACCAGATGCGGGTTGAACATCGTCAATTCTGAGTGGTCGTGCCATTAATTAATTATGAATTAACTTAAAACGGGATTAGCCTCGTTAATTATCGTGGGGTCGAATTCTGACCCATACAAACCTGATACGATAATATTATATCTGCCCCTATGATAGGAAGTCATTTTACAAGAAATATTTTTCGTTAGAAAGTTATTTAGTGTTTGATACCATTTATCATAATGTATTTTTCAAAGACACATTTTATATTAAAATAAAAAAGACAAGTTTACTCAATTGTGGTCTAGAAGTTACATTCCTTACAATTATTTTAGTTACTTACTTATTTTATTATTACCAGTTACAACACTTTGACATTATTATTAATTTTATTATTCAAACATTTCATAAAAAATCTTCAATTTGCTAATATCATTATTTTTTTTTAATTTACAATTCCCCCATTTTTTATACCAAACAGCCCAAGTACTACCAAACAGACTCAAAATGTTAAAAGATTTTGCAAAAGATCACAATTAAATACAAACCGACTTTTCCAGTTTGTTACAAAAGATCAACAAAACTCTTCAATTTGCTAATATCATTATTAAAGATTTACTATTTGGTTGAAAGTTCAGATTTTTCCAGATTTGTATGCTTAAATACAACCAAAAATAAAGAAAAAGCAAAGATAAACAAGGAAAAGTGATAAAACGAGTATCTTTACTTTACCCAACCCAGCCAATGAAAGCGTAAGGTGAAAAAGGACAAAAGAAGAAGGCGCCTAAAATAACAACCTTTCACTCATTTAGTCTATACAGTATTTTGGAGCTTAATACTGTGCTTCTCCTCCTTCATACGTCTGTGTGTGTACACCTACCTGGCCACTGACACTTCACCCCACCCAATACACCTTTCTTAAATGACATTTTTACCCTCATATTTGTTTTTTTTAGGTTTTACGCACTTTGTCCAATACGTCTACTAATGTGAACTCATAACGCTTCTTATTAAAGATGATTTCATTCTTAATTTTAAATTTGAAATCTTGAGTTAAAGTTTAACGTTTGTTATTACTTCATTATAACTTTTGGTGATAGTACCTCATGTTTTACTAGAAGGAATTTGTATATCAATATTTTCACTTTAGTGGGTTTCATTGAGTTTAGTCTATAAACTTACTAGTTAAAAATGTAAGCAATTTTCTTCCACTTTTATCAAAAATAGCCTCGATGTCCTTCTAGCTTCAGGATAAGGCTATATATTACCCTTCTCACAGTGGCGAAATTCGAATTTTCATTAAGGGATGTCAAAATATAAGAAATTAAGTACACCGAAAAATCTAGGGGAGTCAACGTATGATAAATATACATAAAACAAAAAAGTTATCTAACTATATAGTATAATTTTCTTGCGAAGGAGTGTGGCTCTGCCATTACCTTTCCAGACCCCACTTGTAAGAAATTACTGGATGCGTTGTTGTTGTATCTTAGTGTAATGCGTGTCATTCATTCACAACTAGAAGAGATTAGGATAAAAATTTAATAACATTAGTAAACACAATCTTTGTATGCATTTCGAATTTCGCAATATTTTTTCCTAACTCAATTAATCATTTTAATAAGGAAAAATAAAACATTAGATCCTAGGTTAAATTTGTCATTATAAAATGTATTAGTGTAATAAATCTAGGGAATGATGAGTAGATTAGGAGTGCCCCTAGAGTTCAAAACTTTACATATTATACGCTTATATAAACGCAAAAGCATGGAAATGTTTTGCTTCTTCATAACGGCATACCCCTCCCCTACCCCCTCCTCAACCCCTACCCCCGCCCACCCTTTGTATTCTTCTGCTCTCTTTAGTTGCCTTTTTCAGTGAGACCAACTAGCAAACACCTTCTCTGCATTTCTGCTGCATCTACATACTCTCCCCTCTCAGGCTCCTTATTTGAGTCTTTTCTACTCACTTCTCAGTGGGGTTTTAGGAGCACAAAATGGAGAAGAAACAAGGGTTTTTCTCAGCACTGAAAGATGAAGTTGTTAGGGGATTATCACCGGGTAAGTCCAGAGGAAGAAGCCCATCACCTTCGGGTTCGGGTCTGCTCCGAAGACGGAAGGGAGGTCACGCGCAACCACCGGAAGTGTACATTTCAAGATCGGGTAGTCTGAGGCCATGTGTTGAGACATTGTCGCCGTTGATGGAGGGTCCGGATCCGAACGGGTCGGAGGTTGGGGACTCCAAGTCTGAGAGGTGGTGGATGAAAGGTCAACTATGTCGGGCGCCTTCTGTTTCAACTTCCGGGTCGGGTTTACAACGGTCCGATCTGAGGTTGCTTCTTGGTGTCTTGGGTGCGCCGCTTGCCCCGGTGCATGTTAGCAACAATGACCCTTTGCCTCATCTCAGCATCAAAGACACTCCCATTGTTAGTATCTTTTGCTCACTATTTCCTTGTTAGTAGTCCATTCTTACACATTTCTGCATTTGGTAACAATTAATTTTACACTTTCATTTCCAAATTAATTTTACACTTTCACTTTTATCCTTAATGAGAAATTTTTATAGCTAAACATTTAAAGTTTTGTAGCAATTAAGATCACAAATCTCGAAAGTTTTCATTTTTTTTTGTAAAATACTTCTTTTATGCAGTAACAAATTTGGGCTCTAAAGATGAATGTTTTTGTTTCTTATTTTTGTGTTGTGGGTGAGATATGACAAAAAAGGTTGTTGTCAGTGTTAAGGTATAGGTTGTAAAATGGTTCAATTCCAACAAATTGTTGTTTTCAGTTTTTTTCTAAATTAAGTAATCTTTTGGACTTCATTGAATTAATAACTGTATGAAACTGAGACATTTGGTGTATACTCTCCTGTCATTTTGTTTTTTTACCAATTTTAGCTGTTTTCTTGGCTTCTCTTTGAATGCGTGATGGGAAATTGATTGTGCCATTTTTGTTGGCGAGTTCTGTATGTGAACATAAATTCTTTTAGATAACGGAGGAGTTAATATTTTTATTAGCTCATCTTGCTACATCCACATTGAGTCCAAAAACAAGAATGGGCTCCATTGAGTTCTTTCTTCTTTTCTTTCTTTTTTTAAAATTTTCATTTCTGTGTTTTTGTGGGCTGGAGTGACTATCTGGATATAGCCCCTTACCTTAGTTGGTGGCCTATCAGTCTCTTCATTTAATGCAATGTGAGGATAATTGGGCATAGTATCCTGATGGTGGTCCTTGTTTGAGTTCTGCCGTTGTTTTTAGTTCTCATCTTTTTGCAAATTTGATTAAATATGTACGACTATGAATTTATTTTGGATTTAGGCTTAGTTAATTGAAGTGTGTGTTACTTTTAATTTGCAGGAGACTTCGTCTGCTCAGTATATATTGCAGCAGTATACTGCAGCCTCTGGAGGACAGAAACTTCAAAACACGATTTATAATGCTTATGCGATGGGAAAGGTGAGGATGTTGGCATCAGATATTGAGACGGCAACGAAGGTAATAAAGAGCAGGAATTCGACTAAGACAGCTGAGTCTGGGGGATTTGTGCTCTGGCAAATGAACCCAGACATGTGGTATGTGGAGCTTGCACTTGGTAGCAGTAAGGTTCATGCTGGTTGCAATGGGAAACTTGTGTGGAGGCATACCCCTTGGCTCGGTGCACATGCTGCAAAAGGACCAGTTAGACCATTGCGACGTGCACTTCAGGTACATTTTGGAATAACAACTTCATTACGTTCTTTTGTGGTCCCTTTAGCTTCAGTAAATGACCCCTGTCCTTAACTTTATTTGTAGGGACTTGATCCAAGAACTACTGCAAACATGTTTGCTAGTGCAAAATGCACGGGAGAAAAGAAGATCAGTGGTGAGGATTGCTTCATTCTTAAACTTTGTGCTGATCCACATACATTGAAAGCCAGGAGTGAAGGACCAGCAGAGATCATTAGGCATGTCTTATTTGGCTATTTTAGCCAGAGAACAGGACTTCTTGTACACTTGGAGGACTCACATCTGACCCGAATCCAAACAAATGGGGGCGATGCTGTTTACTGGGAGACGACAATCAATTCATTCCTTGAAGATTACAGGCCTGTTGAGGGGATCATGATTGCTCACTCAGGACGATCTGTTGTAACCCTTTTCCGATTTGGTGAAACAGCTATGAGTCACACCAAGACCAGGATGGAAGAAGCATGGACTATTGAAGAAGTGGCATTCAATGTTCCGGGCCTATCAGAAGAGTGTTTCATTCCTCCAGCTGAGCTAAGATTTAGTTTAATTGGCGAAGCGTGTGAGCTTTCTCAGGGAGAACGGGTAAAGACTACTGTGGCTGCCGCTGCTGCTGCAGCTTACCGAGCTAAGGTTGCTGCTCTGGATAAATCACGTGACGGCAATGTCAATAACATTGTATTGAAGATGAATTATTAGATCTGCCACTAATTTCTTAAGAGTTTAGGTCTTGTTGGTATAAATAGGCTGACAGAACCAGGTAAAGTAGTAGTAAGTAAGCTAGGGGTCAGATGATTGAGGAATTTTGAGGTTTTATACAAGTCTATCTCAATCTGTAAATATTCATAGGATATCTTCTTGTTTCAATTAAGATTCCCTTTGTGGAATCAACTCTATCAATCTGCAGTTCTGGCCTAATAATGTAGGTCTTTTCTTTTTTCATTTTTTATCCTTCTGTGAAGACTTTGAATTGTAGTAACTCCATATCATGTACCATAGGCTGTTGAAAAATAGTATCCAGTAGCATGCGAATGTTAAAAGCTACACGGTGTTTGTCGCTGGGCCACGCTTAAGGTCTGAAACTCAATTCTTGTTCTTTTGGATAATGATTACTGCTGCTAAGAAAAGTATGGGCAATTTATAATTTTGCAGTAGGGTTGTTCGTAAACAAGGCATAATTATGAGTGATTATGGTAAGGGGGCACGCTTGCTGCTGGATCTTTTTTTGCATTTTAGCTGCAAATAAAATCTGGTAATTTTCTATTTTGCCTTTTGCTTCTGTTCTTTGTTGAGAATCTTGACAAAAGAAAGGAAGAATACAGTGTTAGGTATTTGTTCAGATTTTATTACCATAATTGGTTTTCCTATCTCATGAAGGAAAGGATAACATATTTACCATAATTGGGTTTTTCTTTTCCTAGAAGGAAAATATAATTCTTTCATATTTGGCTAGTCCCTTTTCTTGTTGAAAAAATGTTTGGAGTTTTATAAATTGAGGATCCGCCCTTCTCATTCAGTAGCATCCATAATGTAGCCATATGAGGTTTGAGAGTCGTGTTTAGGGGGAGAACTTTACGGGCAAGTGTTAGTGTTGTCACTTCTGTTTGCCTCTTCGTGAGGTTGTTCTCTCAATATTTTGTACTCTCATTTTATATAGTGGATTGCTCATCTCCGTCGTGGACATAAATCAGTTGACCGAACCACATTAAATATTTGTATCTCTTTTGGCATATTTCTCTTTTGTTATCTGATTTATCGTCGTTCAAAATTTGCTTTACTAGCTTTCGCAAATTTTTTTCGGTTCTACCATACAGTGTCTTATGATGATTGCAATACTTGAATGCAAATGGCGCCCAGTATGCATTGAAATTGGACCACAGGCTCACAAGTCACACGTATGCGCAATCACCATCATTCATTAAAGGCCTACGAAGGCAAATTTTTCCATAAATAATTAGCATTAGAATGCTTGTATTAGAATAGATCGGATCCTTCGTAAATGCGGGAGACCTAGTGCACCGGGATGCCTTATATATATATATATATATATATATATATATATATNTATATATATATATATATATATATATATATATATATATATATATATATATATATATATATATATATATATATATATATAATTAGCATTGGAATCTGAAAGTGAAAGCTTGCTAGACAATTAGGATATATTTATACCATTTTATTTTAACAAATTATTCACGATATTTGAACTTTTTTAATCTTGTTTTTTGTGACAATGAGCAAATATTTGGCCTCAAATTCCTACTTATTGAGACCAGTGAATGTAATGGCATAGAGTATATAGCTGCATAGACTACTTATTTATGACAATGAATGTGAACTCAATATTAAGTTCAGTATATATTTGGAGTAGAAAATAATAATTTTATAAACGTTAAAATATCGTGGTATAGCCAGTTTTCACACTGGTCAATGAAAATAGCCAGCGTTTATCAAGTCAATGAAAAATAGCCACTATTTTGCTGCAACAGGGACCGGTCCAGTATAATATACGGGAGTTCTGGTGCATTTGTGTACGAACTCCAGCATATTATGCTGGACCGGTATACTTTGCTAACTCCTGTAAAATTTGCGGGAGACTGGAGCACCAGTGCTCCAAACTCCAGTATATTATACTGGACAATTATACTTGCTGGAACTCCCGTAAAATTTGCGGGAGTTCCAGCATAGTTATCCTGGAACTCCCGTAAAATTTACGGGAGTTCAAGCATACTTATGCTGGAACTCCCGTAAAATTTGCGGGCGTATTTTTCCGGATTTTGAACAGTGTTTTCGCTCAAATTTAAAGTGGCTAAATTTCGATGACTTTTGAAACTTGGCTATTTTTCAACGACCAGTGGTAAATCTGGCTATTTTTGAATTTCTCCCTTTATAAACAGTAGATTCACCCAACATCTGACCACCTCTTTTTCTTTTTCGGCAGCGGTAAACCTTGAACTAGACACATGTTATTCCTTATTCCAAAAAGAAAAAGAGTAAAGGTGAATGAATAATACTTCACTTTCCGCACGACTTGGCAGGCTGTAGTAATGTATATATGCTGATAACTGTGGGGCTGCAGCCTGCTGTGAACTTAAGATTTGCTAGGCAATGCAGCTTTTATACATTAAAGCGGGGGCTGGACACTTGGAACCCTGAAATATAGGAGACGAGGAGAGAGTTTTAAGTAGGTTTGGAACTCGAAAAAATACTTACTCATCGTGTTACACCAACTTAATATATAACATATGTATATATTCACGTACACTGTCATCGTGTTACACCAACTTAACATATAACACGTTTGCTCACATATACTGTCATCACCGAACAATTGTAAATCGATATATCAGTTGATGCATGGTAAAATAGTATGATTTGGTCTTAAATATTGAATGCGAATAAGTTTTTATGTTGATACTCTGCATCAAAGCGATGCAAAGTGAAACAGAATTTATAGGAAATGTTTGACCAAAAAGTGTTAAGCTATTCGTTAAACTAATTAATGAGAAAATGAAGGATAAATCTTAGCCAAGGATAATTAAGTCTAGATCAAAGCATGCTAAATACGAGAACAGAATATAATCAAGCTTATAACTCTTTTTAAGGTTAACAAAGATATCAAACATAAACGACAGGCTTACATTCTTGATGCGTTGTTCCGTAATGTAAGAGCGAAGAAGAAAAAGAGGGCATGCCATTGATAGATAAGGGATCTATCTTTACTGATTCAGCAATGACGATTACAAAGATTTGCCACCAAGATCTAGACTTTCACTTTGTTGTTGTCAGAGGTCTTCTCTTGTTCTTCTGTCTCTCTTTCTTGAAGGAGAGAGCCCCTTTTTCTTGTTATCTTCTCCCTATTTATATAGCAATTATTCCCTTTTATCCAACGGTTCTTAGCCAGAGGGCCTTAGTCTGTTCGTTGTGCGTTGGGTCGTTCCCTTTAAATATCACGACATATTCCTCGCCGTACAAGCTTTCAAATAGTTCGATCTCGACAGTGGTCGAGCTACTCGTTGTTATGACGTCTTATGAATACGACCACGGCTCAGTCGACCCTTCGTCATTCCCTTCAATGCTGATCCAAGCGTGGTCAGATTTTGACCCATACAGTTAGTCCCTCCGCCTATTGAGGTCGCCTCTTGGCGAGCTCGATGGGCGGACTCTGTTGATTTTGAGAAGGAGAGATCTGAACGGTTTGGTGCGAGAGACGAGCACCTCATGGCAAGGTAGCGACGTGACGTTTCGAGAATTGCGTCAAACCGTTATGTCAGTTCAGATTGTCATCAATGTTTCTCATGTGTCATTATGGCACACATTTCCTATGCTTTGCGTCGTTTCCCGTGCCCTTTCAGTTTTCTAATTTGGAGGCGCTTGGTTTTCCTGATCAGGGCATTTACATCCCTATAAATAGGGGAGAATCCCTTATTTGAATGTTACGCTTCTTAATCGTTCAAGAGAGAACTTTGCAACTCTCTTCTCCAGTTTCTCAAATTTCTTTTTTCGTCAGGATTTGCTATGATCACCACCTTTTTCCCTTATCATTCTCATTTCTTTCGATCAAAAAGAAAATGTCTAGTGCTTCTTCTAACTCCAATAGAGCTGCTCGTGCTCTGGTGCCGGAAAATAATGCACCCCTAATCGAAGAGGGGGTGGAGATGGTGGAGGATGTGGGCTTTCCGACGGTGGATGAGGTGGTCCCCCGCCCGAGGAAGGTGGGACCGACTTTAATAGCCCTGCTGTAGACGAGCCGGAACCCGTTCCTTCCATGATGGATGCGGCGGTGCTCACGGCGTTCAAAGCCAAATGGGGGATCCCTGATAATACTGAAATGCTGACGGCGGATCGAGACATAGTGCATTTACACCGCTAGGGCTACTGCGCGTTTTATGCGTATCCCTTTATCATTGGGTACACGCTTGCCCTTTCTTCCTTGGTGGTGGATTTCTGCCGCTTCTATGAGGTGTGCCCGGCTCAACTCTCACTGTATGTGTACAAGCTTTTCCTTATGCTCATCAAGTATGCAGAGCTGGCTGGCCGAGGAAACTCTCTAGGACATATGCCTCACCTCTTTGCCCCCCTTTTTCTTCGGGGTACGATGATTCACATGCGTCACCGAGGAACTAAGAGTTTGGTGGTGAAAATGGACGACAAGGTAAATTGCCACATTTGAGAGAGCTTCTTCTACGTCCGAACAAAGCACGTCATGTCGAACCCGGCGGGATTTCCTGAGACGTGGAATTTCGCCTGTAGGTTTTCTTTTCTTTTTACTTTATGCATTTTCTCTTAAGATGGTCATCGCTCGTCTGCCTTTAATGACCTCGTTGAGGGTTTATTTATGTTCTTGTAGCCGAGAGAGTACCTCCTTCGCCAGTTGCTAATATTCGCGAGTGGGTGAGCGCACTGCTTACCATACGGCGGGGATTCGCGAATGGGCGCCTTTCCATGAGAAGTTCGGGCGTAAGCCTCTTATTGGTGAGTTGGCTCATTGTGGTACTTTGTTCTTTGCTCCGTATTTACTTTTACCTTATCCTTGCTTGATTAAATCTCTTCTCATTTGGCAGGTCGGAGAGGAGTGAGAAGGACGAGGGCTCCTGCGCTGGCTTTTCGCTAGCCGGCCTCCTCTACCCGACCCGTTCAAAGGGCACCTGCGGATGAGAGCACCCAACGTGTGGTTGCACGGCAGACCATATCGGCGACTGGGCCTGTTCGTTTGGAGGTTGCTCCCCGATCAGATACTCCAATTCTCGCTGTCCGTTCAACGGGTGAGCCTTCTCGCAATAGTAGCGAAGAGGCACCATCAAAGAGGCGGAGGTTGTCACAGGGTGCATCTTTGGTTGAGACGCCCTCGAGGAGCGACCCTACTTTGGCGGTATTTGGAGCTGGCGATGATACCGGCCAGGGTGTGGAGGCGACGCCT